GCCAGAAGAATGTGGCCACATCTGTCCCTCATCTGACAGGGTACATGACGAGCAGGGCTGGAGTGGCAGCTGCTGTGTCTCGAGAAAGAGCTCCTATTGGTGACCACCCCGCCCAGTCCCCTCCTGCCACGAGGCTGTGGTGGCTGAACGTCCCATCCTGCGGTGTGCACCATCCATGTGAAAGAGCCCTGGGTTTTTGTTATGTTGTCATCCATAAACAGAGTCGTGTAAATCCATCCTGTCCCTCTGCTGCTCATGTGGCTGCCCTTACCTTTCAGGAACTCCCTCTGCATATTGCTGTGTCTCATACTGTAGGTGATGATGTTTTGTTTAGAAGATGGAATTTTGCATGTTTTATATAGTTTGGTTAAAATACTCTACCTTGTTGCTAAAGCTTATGGGATGTGGACTGCTTAGGCATTTGCATGGGCACCTGCCTGGGAATGCCAGGCTTGCAAGCTGGAACTTGCTTTGGCAAGCGCCATCAGCCCCACTACAGGTTCCACTCAGGCATTTCTGAGCTCCTGCCCTGTGCCAGCACCCTGGTGGAACATAAAGGTGGTCAGGTCACACCCAAGCCCTTGAGGAGGGCTTAGTCTCATTAGCTTCAAGCATCTCACGGATGGACAGGTAGATGGACGATGGACAGGCTAATGGTTGGATTGGTAGATGGGCAGGTGGACAGATGATTCTTATACTGTGAATGAGTCTGGGTAATGTAGAGGAGAACTCTAAGGTAAGCAAAGGAGGTTGCTCCTCATCACACTGCAGCTGCTTCTGAGAGGCCATGGGACGTGGTTGTCAGGATCCCAAGACCCCACAGGCAGAGTCCCACCTGAATGAGCCAGAACAGGCATCAGAGTCCGTAGGTCCTATCAGGGCATCATGAAAATTGAAGCGCTTGTCCTATAAGAGAAGGGATGCACTGTGCTTATGGCTTTTTGTTCTTGTCTAGAGCAGGTGTGAGTTAGTACAAATGTATTAATCTGTTTCTGTGGCTTATGACGGAATGCCTGAGACTTGGGTAATTTACAAAGAAATGAAATTTATTTCTTACAGTTTGGGAGGCTGGGAAGTCCAGAGAATACATCTGGTGAGAGCCTTCTTCCTGGTGGGGTGATGCTTCACAGCAACAGAGTATCACATGGTGCAAATGGGCCTAGCAAGAGAGAGTTAGCCTTCTCCCTAGCTCTCCTTATAAAGCCATCAGAGCCATGCCCATTATTCCATGAATAGATCCATCCATTCACAAGGGCACAGTCCTCACAATCTAATCACCTCTTAAAGGCCCCACCCTTCAATTACCATAATTGGCTTTCCCACCCTCTTAACAATGTTACAGGGGAGATTGTTTCCAATACATAAACTTGTGGGAAACACATTTCACCAACAGCAACAAGGTAGGGATGTGATGCAGGGAACACTGTGCACCTGTGATTGCCAGTTGTGANCTTTGTCCTACCGCTTTTAGTTTGTGTAGTCTTCCTAATGAAGAGGAGACTTATTATCTCCTTACAAATGAGGAAACGGGGGCTCAGAGGCGTTGAGTGACTCACTTAGGTAGCACAGCTAGGTAAGTGACAGAGCAAGTCAGAATATGGCCTGTCCGGCTCCCTAAATTCTTCCTTCTGGAGTTTTATCACCGTGGGGTCTCTGGGACAGTGTCTGAGGAAGTGGAAAGGGTGGTAACCTTTGCAACAGGGACTAACGTAGCTCCCCACTCCTGTGTAACTGCAGCCCTGAGTTCAGGTCACCGAGCTGCAGTGAGGCAGACTGGGGAGTGTGGTTTTGAAGCAGACCTTGTTGGGGGCTCACTGGGGCTGCTCCCTGCAGGGATGTCCTCATCACCGAGCTGGTTGTCAGACAGTCCCCTGCTGCTTTGCT